TGCTGGCTGGGGAATTCTGGGAGCTGAAGTCCACTCATCTTAAAGTTGCCAAGGTTGAGAAACACTGGCCTAAGACAACTAAAATTGGCAATCAAAATCGGTAAAATAGGATAATTATTTCCATTCCTTTCATCATTTTCTCCTACTCTGAAATTAGTTGTTGCAATCTGCCAGCAACTTTGGAGGGACTCTGAGGACATTATCTAAGTCTTGGGTTGCTGGACACAATAGTGTAAATGATCTAAAATCTAAAATGAATGCTGGGTGGAAAAGGGTAAGAAAGTTTACAGGAAACAGTGTACACCTTGATCTAACTAGGTAAACTATAGTCTTAAGGCAATCTACTTGGAAAATAGGGGACCACTTAAGTGCTACAGAAAGATGTTCACAATTTTACATTAAGGATGCAAAAAATATTGCTAGTAGGAATGAGGAATAGAGCAGTAGCAGAACTGTGACCCTTTTTGTATCCTAAAAAGGCCTCCCAGCTTCCCCAAATTAAATCCAAAATATTTTTTTTGAAAGGCCAAACACTCCCAAGACTGCCATTTATTTGCCGGGGGGGGGGGACCTTTGTTTTTAACTATGTTTTACGGATTGTTGTGAGCTGCCTAGCGTGATTGTATGAGATAGGCAGCCTGTAAGTCCTGTAAATAAATAAAATAAAAATAAATTCTGCATGAGATGTGGTGACACTACGACGTGGGCAAAATCCTAGAAACGTTACTGACCTATTGTTAGAAGGAAATATTACACCATAAACCAGTATTTCTCAACCTTAGCAACTTTAAGATGTGTGGACATCAACTCCCAGAATTCCCTACCCAGCCTTGCTTCTGGGAGTTGAAGTCCACACATCTTCAGTTGCTAAGGCTGAGAAACACTGCTATAAACACTATCAAGTGGTGATAGGGACAGAAGTCACAAAAATTAAGGGACACCATGATCAGGACAGGTGGCCCTGGCACTCACCACTGGGTTCTCCATCCTTACGGTCAGTGGGATCATAGAGCGCCGAGATGGCTGAAGAGATGCTCTTCTGCAGGTCCTGGTTCTTGCTGACAGAGTCTTCCTCGTCTGATGAGAATGAGGGCAATGTCTCCAGGTTACGCTTCAGCTCCTCGTCAAGCCGTTTGCAGGGGCTGGTGCAGCTCATGACAAGCCCAGCTGGATCTCCTTCTGGTCCATCCAAACCACCAGGTAACATTGGGGGTGCCACACTAAAGGGGGGTGGGGGCTGGGAGGAGGAAGATGTAGCCGATGGGGGGCGAGGCGTCTTGGATGGGCTGCCTGCAGAAGAGACCACGGGAGCTGCTGCGCTGGAGGCCCCAACTGTGGCTGCTGAGGAGGTGGAGGATGAAGGCAGCGTCTGACGCTTGCCTGACTTCAAGAAGTCCAGGAAGGAGGCCATGAACCCTGACTTCATCTCAGGCTGCTTCTCTTCCACCTCTTTGATCTTCTGTTTGATCTTCTCTCTGGTCTGGTTGCTATCCAAGCTGCTCTCTTGGGTGGGCTGGTGAGATGGGGTGGGAGCCTCCAACTGAGATCCCTCCAAACCTTTGGGGACTGGCAGTTTGATCTGGGGAAAAAGAAGGGACAGGAATTGGGGGAAGGGAGGAGATGGAGAGCAATTTCCTGGCCTGCTGCTCCCATATGCTGGCTGACAATCTTGACCTAAGGGCCCTCCTTTCTTTAAGAGATTTTTTTTTCACTATCCACCAGCTTTCCTGTGGACCTTCAATTAAATCCAGGTATATGCAAATGAAGTGCATTGTACATATATTTTTATTTCTTATTCTGCTTCCAAAATTATAAGCCTTTTGAAGAATATGGGTATTTATTTTCTCACCCCCAAGCAACTGGGTGGCAGATGGAAAGAGCATTAAGAGCAGGATAACATTACTTGTGTATTAAAGAAATAAACCACAACAATAGAGCCCTATGAGGCATTATCTACAACCTGTATTTAACTGGGAATCCTGCTTGGTTCAACTTCACTTCTTCCTCTAGACACAGACTCATTTTCTCCACTATCTTGAGGACTAGAAACATTTCTAATTTTTTAAAAAAATCAGAAATGCTGTGGATACTAAATTATGCACCAGTGATAAAATTTTCTGAAACCTGAGATATACACCACAAAGGTCTAGTGACAACTAAACCCAACCATTCATTTACTGTCCGTTGATCTTGCTGTTCGTCACCGAAGACAAATTCCTTGTATATATTTTATACTTGGTCATTAAAGTATTTTTTTTTTGAAGTAGTCACTTTCTCTTAGTTACTCACATACACAAGGATCAGATAGTCCATTGCTCCATCATCTACAGATTCTGCCAGGCCTGATACCAAAGAAACCAAACTCTATGCTAAAGGGGAAAAAAATACAGCTAATGCTAAGAATATGCAAACACTAAACTTTGCACATCTTACTTTTGATCTCAGAGAACCCCAAGGATTCCACAATTTTCTCACCCTCCCACTGGAGGGACAAAAATGAGAAAAAAAACTGGGCCTGAACCAATTTCTACTGTCTTGTGAGGGAGTGGAAAGGGGTAGGCAAAGAGAAGCATAATCTGGGCAAGACAGAAGCACTGTTGATTAGCACTTTTGCTAGAATGAGGTATATCACAGACCCCTTAAAATGAAATACGAAGCTTGGGAGGAACAAATGCTGCTCCTGAATTTCCATATGTCCATGTGGTACACAAAGACAGGAGTGCTTTTCAGCAGCTTCTGCAGTTGCATCAGCTGGATCCTTTCTTAAACAATCATACCTAAAATTGGCCAAACAAGCCTTAATTGCACAACAAGCAACTTTATACTAAGTCAGACCACCAGACCTTTCTGGTCTATACTAATCAATATACTGAATGCTGATAAGGTTGATTAGCAGCAGCTCTCCAGATGTTACAGAGGAATGTCTCTATTCCTTTCTGTTGATGCCAAGAACTAAACATGGAACTTTGTGCCTTAACAGATGTGCTCTATCATCAAGTTACAGCACTTCTTTATGCCCGGTATGGATTATTGTAAGGCACAATAAAGTTTCAACAGCCAAACTGCTGCCTCATGTAAGCTATTCCAGGGTTATTGTTACCAGTCAAACTGGCTGCCAGTCTCTTTTGGAGACCGTTCCAAAGTAGAGATTTTAATCTTTAAGGCCTCAAACAAGCTTGGCATGGGCCCCCCAAAGCCCCTCCAACATTTTCAACTTAATAGGACAAAAAGGCAAAAACAGTTCAATGCATGTGGAGTAAACATATTAACAGTCTGATTTTTTAAACTGAATTTGATCTTAGTTTAATGTAAATGTACATCAGAGACAATGGTAAAAGTGCAGCCCAGGGAGCCACCTGAGTGAACAGAGCCAAAAACTGCAATCTTTTTTTCTTTTTCCCATATTAGGGAGCCAAAGCACAGGCCTTAAGCCTTGCAGATTAAAACAATACACACTTCACTTCTGAAACCTCTCCCCAAACATCCTGACCCTAGCTAGTGTAGTTCTTCAACTTGCTATGCAATCTCTGCTGTGGCTGATCAAACGTGTGTACTTTTTATGTAAATTAAATTAAAATGAATTTAGTGTTTGTTCTGGTCCTATCCATTTTATGAAGTAGGCTCCTAGCACACCATTCAAAGGCCAAAAACAGCCTTCGGCCTAAAAAGTTTGCACACCCATGTCCTAAACCAGTGTTTTTTAAACTTGGCAATGTTAAGATGTGTGGTCCACACATCTTAATATTGCCAGGTTTAAAAAACACTGTCCTAAGCCCTCTGAGACCAGGCTACCTTTAGCGCTGCTTCATTCTGTACGTACCTATTCACACACGTTGTTCAACAGCCAAGGCACTGTCTCCCTGCTATTTCTGAACCATGACAAATGGATACGTGAGACAAGGCCTGAAAAGCCACAGCATTCAGAGTGTGGGACGTCCTTTTCAATACCCTCTTTTCAGTAAGTGGCCCCAAACCTGATTACTTGCCTCCCCTATTAGTTGTTTATTAGGTGCTAAGGTTGGTTTTGCTTTGGGTCATTCCCAATATTGCAAGCTGCCTTATGGGTTGTTCATGGAAAAGCAAGGGATACATGTTTTAATAAATAAAACATGAACCCCATTACAATTATCATTTTACAGAGAAGCCAAAGGCAACTCAGATACAATTATTTTTTGCATTAAAGCACAGGTAGGGAACTCAGACATTCAGCAATCAAAATAAGCCCCTAATTTGTTTGCCTTATATATCTCCAAATTTGCATACTGCTAGCAAATTTTCATCACATTTCTCAAGGAATGACTGCAATATGTTAGCAGGAAGAAAAGGTACAAACCAGGAAATTGTGGCAAGATCCAAACAGCCCAGCTGGCTGTGAACACATGAAATCCTAGCCCACCTACTGGAATCCTGGTGCCCTTGTGTGATCTACTGCTGGCATCTATCTTGCCACCCACCCCCTACGAATCAGAGCAAGCTGCTAGTGCAGTGTTTCTCAACCTTGGCAACTTGAAGATGTGTGGACTTCAAATCCCAGAATTCCCCAGCCAGCAATTCTGGGAGTTGAAGTCCACACATCTTCAAGTTGCCAAGGTCGAGAACATTGCCTACCGGGTGTTCTAGGATTGTCATTATAATGGTGCATAATATCCTCAATATAGTGTTACCCGACGGCACTGATCTATCACGAGGGTCTGCCTGGTGCTCACTGAAGCACTGCTGCTGCCAGCATTTGACAAAGCTGTTTGGTGGAGTGGGGAGAAACCTGTGTCAGAACAGAGTAGAAGCTGGCAAAAGTTATGCTTAACCCCTGTTAAAAAACCCCAATTCTTGTGAGATTGTGGCAGTCTTGTTCACAATGCCAATATCCTTAACTCACACCAACCTATCTTTGCAACAATAAAGAGCAGGATGGAGATAAATGAACTTGGATAATATTGAAGAAACAAATGAATTTTTAGCAGTGCAAACCTTCATCAACAAAAGGTTATACCCTGGATATACTCTCAACTTAAGCACTGAACCTGAATCCTGCCAATATGACTGTTGCCTCCCTTATCCAAAAGTCAGCTTTTATAGCAATGGTATTAGAAATACACACATCAGTACAATATCTCTGTGAAAGCTACCTGTGCTAATCCAGTTCCTGGGGAAACAAAGTCCTGAGCCATTATTATACCACCATGGTCATGTACGAATCACCCTCCAACTTCACCAGGGCATCACCACTGATAACCTCAGGAGCCTAAAGTATCTACCCTTTTTTATAGGTAGAGGCTATAGCTCAGCAGCAAACCACAAGCTTTGCAAACCAAAGGTTAGATTAAATCTCTATTATCCCCAGTGACAAAGGCTCAGGTACAAGTAATGGGAGAGACTCGTACTTGAGAACCATCAATACAAAGGTGGCCAGAGAGTGCAACAGTGGTTTTGATGGATACTTGCTGTAAGAGAGCTTCCTATGTTCCCCAACCATTGCACTCTCCATTTAAATCACTTTACAGGTAGCCCTTGATTTATGACCACAATTGGGACCGGAAGTTTCATCACTAAGTGATGTGATCATAAAGTGAGTTGTCACATGATCACATTGCTTAGTGACCGCAATCCCAGTTGCCATCATTAACCGAGAATCACGGGTTCTTAAGCAAGTACCCACCCCAATCCAAGCCATTCCGGGCTTGGACCCCCCCAGCCCTGAGCCTCAGTAAGGCAAGGGACTGCGTCCAACTCCCCCCACCTGCCTATCTCCCTGCACCATCTCTGCCGTTCTGGCCTCCCTGTACCCTGTTTTACGGGAGTGGCAAGCAGCCCCAGAACCGTGCGGCTCTGGGGCTGCTTGTCAAGCCCTCGGAAGCCGCAGACAGCCCAGCCCAATCTCAGCCACAGTTGCCGTTGCCACCCTGCACTCTGAGACACCTGCCACCCTGCGCTCCACTGCCCCAGCTGACCTTCGCCATCTTCTTGCTCCTGCTGCTGCTGAAGTGTGACCAGCCTGCTGGCTGCTGGGCCAGGCTAGGCCCGGCGTCTGCTGCGAAAAAAAAAAAAAAAAAAAGCCAAAAGCAGCCCCGCAGTCATGGCGCACCAAAACGCCCCTTTGCAAAAAGCTCCTGGAGTGCGCTCTGGGGTGGGGCAGGGATTTTGCTTAGCCCCACAGTCATGGCGCACCAAAACGCCCCTTTGCAAAAAGCTCCTGGAGTGCGCTCTGGGGTGGGGCAGGGATTTTGCTTTGCGGTGCAAAAAAAAAAAAAGGCCAAAGCCCAGCCCAGCCCAGCCGCACAGTGAAAAGGGACATTTTGGTGCGCTGCTACCCAGGAGCTGCTTTTGGCTTTTTCCTTTTTTTTGCAAAGGCCCCACCCTGCTCCACAGCAGTGCAAAGGGGCATTTTGGCACACTGCACTCCAGGAGCTTTTTTGCAAAGGGGTTTTTTGATGTGCCGCGGTTCTGGGGCTGCTTTTGGCTCCCCCCCCTGCCCGCAGCTGAAACTTGGCCCAGCTTGGTCC